TCGTATAGAGAACACCTCACCCGCTTTGTAGAGAACATCGATTGTGTGCAAGAAAGCGTTACGGAAAGTCCTTCACAGTCTACAAAGAGACAATATGCTGAACTGCAGATTTCCAGATGTACTTTTTCAGAAAATCTTGCGATGCGATTTCGATCTGTTTCCCTATAAGATTGAAGTAATGCAAAGCCTTCGTCCCGAAGGAAGCTAGCTGCGATTGAAGTATGCTACAGCTTTCTTCACTCGGCTGGAGGATAAGAGAAATTTCCTACAAAACCTGATAATGAACGATGAAACGCATATTGATTTGGTGGGTTATATGAATAGACATTGCAGATTTTGGGATTCGTCCAACCCCAGACGAGTCCACTGAAGACCATTTCATCCGTTGCGAGTAACTATCTGGTGTAGCATAACATTAGAGAAAATTATTGGGTCACATTTCTTTGAAGATGAAAATGGGGTTATTCAGACAGTTATAGGAGAGCGTTAAAGAGAAATGCTGCAAAATTTCTTGCACACTGCAGATGGAAAACAATACGTACGTGATTTCAATAGGATAATACAACAGCCCATGGGAAACAATAGCTTTTTTGGAAGCAACACTACCGTAGTCGTATTACTTAAAAAAAAAAGATGATGACCATCTCTGTGAGGCTATTTGTTGGAAGAAGTCCACATAAACAAATCGAGAAACTTAGCTGAACTGAAAAGGAATATGTATTTGTACCATCAAGATGAAAAGACAGTTATTTGCCAGGCAAATGACATCATTTTCCGCACTTAATAGAAAAAATTTCAATGCATGAAAGTTCAGTTTTGTGTTTTCATTTTTTGTTTCTCTTCTCTATCCATTGACTTATGAAAAATGAAACAGAAGTGTCGCGGACTTTTGCGCCCCTCCCCCCTGTTATAAGAAAAGATTCACAAGTCTAAGGAAACTTAAACAATATTAAGTAGTTTCGCAAAAACTACACTTTTTATTATTGCTGATCAGTTATTTCTACTCTTTCGAAATCACATTGACCCGTCGTAGAAATCCTAGAAAAAATACTATTGGTTCTCCTTGAAGTGAAAAGCGTTCTTAATTGAAACATTCTGCGGCCATTACCCTGTTTCTTATATTGTACACGTGCAATTCGAAAGGTAATGTCTTTGCAGAGGAATAGAACAATAAAGAAGGCTGATTGACCAAACCTTCGGGGAACGTTTCTTGCCCTCCAACAAATAAAAAGGCCACTGTTCCATAACCATGTAATTGCAACATGGAAGAAACCAGTCACGTTAAATCTTGACCAGAAAGAAAGAACAGAAGTTATTTATACCTTTAATGCGATTTTAATTCTGTAATAATTTCGACCCATTTATCGCATAGTTTATGATTATTGGCGATAATTAAGTCATTAACTTTAAGATGTCTAATTTAGATCTGTTTACGAATGAAACAGTAAGATGTCTCTTTACATACCGTGCTGTGTTTGTGCACCCATGCATATAACGTGCCATCGTTAGAATTAGTAGGTATACTAAAGAACAATAATGCAACGCGAGTACTTTTGTCTTACGTGCGAATCTTTGCGCACACTCTAATTCGTTTGAAAAATTCAGTAATTTATTGCTAGGAAACGTTGTAGTTGTAGCATGTAGGTTTTTTCCTGCTTATTCTCCGTGTAAATTAACATTAATTTTCACCTTTAAAAATCATTTTCTGGCAAATCTCTTTAACAAATATTTGCCGATTTCTAAACGTGCAAATTCATTTCTGAACGCCGTGTCTATTATTTTTTCTACACCCTGTACACGCTCTTATATCTTCACATTTGTAAACACGATGAAATAAAGCATTCGTAGAAATTAATTTTAATGTCCTGGAATCTCGTTGACACAGTGCAACCTACAAAACTAAGGATCCCATACATGCACAATGGGACGCATTGTGTTCATAATAACGGAATCAACCTCTAACCATTGTTCAGGAAACATAAAAGCTTTCTGGAAATAAGGGCTCTGCGAAAACACGTTTCGAACGCTACCGACAATTACATCCATATTTCTTATTACCACAATTAATTCTACGAAGGAAGGAATAACACGTAATGTAACATATTTCTAATGATTTATTTAAAATATTGAAATGGGGGTGCAGTGAAATTTTTCGAAAGATTTCTGACGACGACACATATTGTTAAGCAATCGAATGAAAATAAAACATTCATATGGAGATTATATTAGAAATAAGCTTGAATTATTAAACAGATAATAATGTTGTAATGAATGTAAAAGGTTCTCATCCATCAGAGGGTATGAATGCCTGCGTAAAGGAAACGTCACATTGTCTGCTAGGATACATATTTCAGAATCATGACTCATAACCAGGTGTTCCTCTTTTGGCGTTTCGGCCTCGTATATCATCAGTAGGAAACATTTTCCCGATGGTTAGGAATTCTTTAAGATCCATATGACCTAGGAGTAACAATTTGGCAAACTGTAACACACTTTTCGGTTTGCGGTTCTCGCGAGTTTACACGTGGAAATCGTAGTTATTGTGTAATAAGATAAAAACGTCACATTTTGTATTTTTCGAAGAAATGTGTTATCAAGATTAGCCTTTATCAAGTATATGGCAATTAGTCGGTTCACGTGTAAATACTTGTAAACAAATTTAATAATGACAGTTTTCAAGTAAATTCAACCATTCCGTCACTTATATAGCATAAACTATGTTCATAATTCTCGAATGATTAATTGTGCGCTGTTCGTATTTGTACATAAAATAGCATGAACATTAATGTAAATTTTATACGTCCATTTTAAACTGAAACTTCTAAGAATTTTCGTTTAAATGAATGATTTATAAAAGTAGTTTATGACGGTGAAATCTTGAGAATAAATAGCGCAAAATTCTCAAAAGAAGATTAAGTCTTCAGATAAGATTTCACTGTTTCCAGTGAAAATGTCTGCAAAACAAACGAAGTCAAAGTATATTGGAGATTCAGAGTGGATCAGAGTTCGCAAAATGTTTGAAAGGAAGAGGGTCGGAGGGTGTAGCGTATTTTGTTAAGAGAAACTCGTATTGTGCGACCAGCTGGATTCTTACGGATTTATTCTTGGAAATGAACAAGAATAACGTATCTAAGGTACGCAACTCTCTCTCTCTCTCTTTCTCTCGCTCGCTCGCTCGCTCGCTCTCTCTGCCTGTCTCTTTTTTCTTGATCTTTTCTCTTTCTATCCGTCGTCGTCTTCTTTCTCTCTTTTCCCTCTTTTTTCGTTTCTTCCCATACCAGAATTCTCCATCAATCGTCAGATACAACTATCACCTTCCTTTCTCTCTCCCGGATCTTTCTGAATATTTTCAGATTTGACATAAAAGCGAAAAATCAAAATGAACGCATTATTTGTGGCTCACGAAAATATTTCGCATTTTCAAACGTGGCAAATATTACAGAAAAAAGTTATATTTTTGTTGTTGTTATTTTCTTTTTATACCGATGATTCCAAATGTAAAGTAAAAGAAGAAACGAGAAAGAAGTTCAAAAAATATTGTGAAAAGTACAAGTGACATACTTTTTCGATGAAAACTAATTGAAATTGTTGATGTTTTCACGATTGATCGTTAACAGTCAAGGGTTATTTTTTTTTACCAATCAAAGATTATGAACGAAAAAGGCGCAGAATCTTTTACTTCGAGGATCTGTGCCCAAAATCTTTTGTGAAGAAATATATATTAAAAAAACAAAGATTTTATTCGAAAAAATCGTTTAAAGCAATATTGTACATGTTACATAATACTGATACTATATGTATCTTTGCCAGAATAATTCGCGTCGCGATTTTGCAAAAACGTAAGCTTTTCGAATTGCTTTTGTTATTCTAAAAGGAACTGGCTTTGGACGTATAACAGTTCCTGAAATGTTTGCCAATGTTGAGTGTGCCGGTGGGAAGGGAGTCAGTCTGGCAACGGCAATCGATTGGCAGCCAAGATCGTAAGTGTACGGCGTCAAATCGTCGGAATTCGTGACGTTTTGCGAGAGGCCCACGGAAATAAGAACTCTTAAGCGAGAACGATGACGCGATAGCACAGACGAGATCGCACGTAAACCAGTTAAAAGGAATCCATTTTTCCGCGAGGCATGTGCTCTGTCGCACATTCAATAGTGATGGCTTTAACCTGTCACTGTTAATATTTATTTCCATCGAATTTGTACAAGAATTTTCTCGCCTAATATCTTCTGCATCCGACTTTATTTAAATAGAATTGAAAAACAAAATTTTAGGAATTATATCCAAAAAAAATTGTTATAGCTTCTATTTAGTAGTGGATACTTTGTATTATACGAGTAATACCGTAATGTGTTATTAAAAATATTGCAAACCAATATTGTAACCTAAAGTGTAAACAAAGATCAAATTCTGTTATTCAGTTTGGCTAGATGAACCACTAAGAAAAAATACCTGAAACGTTTTACAATGTAGCCTGGATTATCCCTTCTTATAAACCTTTACGTGATTTGTTTGTTTTCACGGTATTATGCAGTATTTGATTACGATTTCATAAATTCACGTGAAGTGATTTGGTTCCGAGAAAAAAGTATTCGACTTATTTTTACATATACAATACTTTTCTTATCTGTAATACTTTTCAATACTTTTTTACTATTTTTATGTAGCCAGGGTAATTGAAGTAGTGAAAATATCTTTTATTGATATTTTTTTTCAGTAATTTAATTTCAGAACGATAAAGAACAGAGATTATCTTTTAGCTAAAATATAAACTAACATTCTATATGACACAAACTATCAATGAAATTGGTTCTTTAACATACTGATCATTTCTGTATCATAGCTATCGCTAGAATAGAATTCTTAATGTTCCCTCAACGAGTCTTCCACGATTTCCACCTCCACTCGTGGTCAGATCACGTGCTTGCCCCCACCTCGTTTCTCTACAAAAGCAATTATAGATTCATTCAGTGGTAGCAGCGCCAGTACTGTCCCGGCTCTCGTGTTCGGGGGATTATTTTGGTGTGCTCTTAATATTACACTTTGAAAATCGTTTAAAAGTAAATGCCTTATGTTCACGAATAAAATTATATTACCTATTATCAAGATTCCTTTTCCTTAGTTCTCTAGGCAACTGAAAAATTCGAGTTTTTATTGTGCTTCCAACAAGAATTATTTTTAGCAGTGCTTCGAGCTGTTTTCGAGACGTGAGGTGAAAGTGGAAGTGCCTTTTCGGAGAAAGTTTTGTTGGGGGATTTCTTCGTGGTCGTCACTAAATCATTAAAATATTTCGGTAAGCTATATTTCGAGACGTTCTTAAAGTCTTATTGCCCATTCCATGAAAACTTAACGTTCTGTGATTTTTTTTCGCTTCACAACATTGTTTCTGATGTATTTGCATTTGTTTTAACGATTCAGCTATGCATTTCAATGTAGTTCAGAATAAGGTTGCAGTGATTCTTTTAAAGGTCATTGCATGTAAAATAGTATAAACTTTGTGTTCGTTTATTGAAACTTATGCCTTTACATGAAAATATATTACCATGACAAATCGATTCTATTCTAAACACTACAAGACTTTCATTCCTTACTTACTTACTTAATAATAAAATGAATGAGTTAGTGATTGTCGTTCTTTGTTTCATCCGGTATTCACCTTTCGTACAAGAATGAATTCTAATACATATATAATAAAATATATAAATTGAAATATGCACATAAAGGGCGTAAAAAAAATTATAATTTCCAGTAATGTTAGTAATGATGTTGTCTAAGAAATTTTGAATTTTAACATTAAAAAAAGTAACAATGGTTCACATTTATTACTTTAATTCGTTCAAGCTGGAACAGTTTGCTTTAAAAAAAAAAAAAAAAGAAGAAAACAGTTTTTCAACTTTTATTCCAATATATTTTTGTATTTAAATTACTACAATATTTAAATATGTAATAATGTAAAAGGTACACCGGTGTCTTATTACAGTCGTTGTATTAAAATAAAAATGGTTAATTCGTTAATGGTCAAAGAGTAATGCTCTAAATACGATGTAATAATAAAAGTAAATCCGTTCACGGAAGCAGGTTTATTTCCCCGAAGGCGTGTAAAATAAAATTCACGCTTATCTGTAAGAGATAAAATCCGTGTTACCACTCATTCGGGGAACCTCTTCTCATTTATACTTGCTGGAAATCTTGCCGATAACGAGGCCAGCTACAGTATCATTCATAAAGAGTGACCGTTCATTTGACTGATTTACAATAATGTTTTACACCATTTTTCTATTTTAATCGAATGCAATCTCATTGAAATACGTTTAAAATTCTCAAATTCTTTTTCATTTCTCATTTTATTTTTCTTTTTTTTCTTAACATATTTTCTTATCGCACACACATTTCCTTATTATATATACATATTTTATGTATATGAACACTTTTAAATATTTATGTGTATATTTCTTTATACCACTGTTATGTAGTATTTATCATATATGTATATATTTCTGCGAAATACTATCTGTTTTACATAAAAGATTGTCGCGTTAAAAAATACATTAGAATATCACGTTTGCAAAAGTGTCTATCATCGTTTTGAAGAGAGCTGTACGACGAAGGATCGTAGTGTAGCATCGATGAAGTTGACCAGTAAAATTAGCATTCGCTGCGACGAACTGTATTTCGCTGGTGTATAGGTCATCAGCCCAGTTCATCGTTTTCCAAGAAGACGAATTTCTAGCCAGACCCCTTGAAACAGGGTAGACTCCCAACCCTTCCCCTCGATTTACGATGCTTTCGAATCACCTTCTGACTTCAAACGTGCATCATAAAACACGTTCGTTGCTTCTTCATCGCCAAATTTATACACTCCTTTTTCGTACCTTTTTTATCCTTTTCGAGAAGATAATCATTTATTAGCATTTATTCGTTTATTTGTATTTATTTGTCCATTCGTTCGAAAATATTTCCTTGATATTCTGCATACTTTTATCACTTTACCTATAGAGATATCTTTGTCTGAATTTTATCACCATTCGCAAAATTTCATAAACCAAATAATAAATTATTGACTAAATCATCAAAGTGTTATTTAATTTTGACGTTAAATTCTTTATTTGAATGTTTAATTATTTTACAATTAACTGATTTGTTCGCATATATTATAAACATTAATACTTTAAAATTGATAAATATTCACAAGATAAATGGATATTTTAAATAAATAAAGATAACGTTGCCTTTAAAATAGTAAATTATTCCAACGTTATATAAAATTCTATAACGTCTTACCGTTCTTTTAGATTTTTTCTAATTTTGTGATCCATTAGGGTCTTGTTCTATTTCCACAAATAAAACTACAACATCCAATTCTGCGAAGTCCTCTTTGCTTGAAGAAAGATTTTTCTTTCCCCCTCTCTGCTTTAACCATTTCCACTCCCTTAGCATTCCAACGACAGGAAAGAACAGATGGTCAAGGAAGGATAAAAGCAGAGGGATATAATGAAAATTAAAAAGTAAAATATAAATGCAAAAATATTAAATATAAATTAGGGATAAATTCTCACAAATAATGGAAAAACATTGGAAACACAGTGAAAGCAAAGAAAGAGATAATAAATTTTGATGATAATAATAAATAATTGAAAATAAGTAATATTTACTGGTGAAAATTAAAATAAATATTTTCGGTATAAACAACATTAAATTTTAGAGTTTAAAAATATATTCTGAATAACAGTACCTTTCTTCCTTCGCTATAGTCGTTATCGATAACAATGACTTGCATCATGAAACGAAGCAATTCATTATTTGATTAATTTATACTACTACTTTATAACACACAGTTCATAATCACAAGAAATATTTAAGCAATATGAATTTAATGATTGGATAAAGTAGAGAAAATAATTATTGTTAATATTTTACTAAATGTAAGAATAAAATTATTGCTTTCTTTGTAAATATTTTTTAATTCTTCTTTGTATTGAGCGTTAGGTTGCGTAAACCAATTTTTAAAAGTATGTACTGTATTTATAGCCTTCTACCAGCATGGCTCGCTTCTGTTCCATATGGTTTAACTTTATTGAGAAATTTCAAATTTAATCTATTTCTTAGAAAAAGAAAAAATTTTTTATAAATGTTACATATCTTAGAAATGTAATGTAATATACAAAACATGACAAATTGTACATATTAATAATTTTACTCTACATATTAAAATAGCTATATACTTTCACAATTCTTGATACGTTCCATTGTGTTTAATGGCTTAAATTTGATTGGTTTTGCATTTGGAATTGTGCGTTCCTGGAAAATGTTATCTAAGTAATTATCGTCATAAGTTCCGATGCTATATTTACATTGTAATTTTATCTATCGATAACAAGAATTAAGGGGTTGTCAAAACGTTAAAAGCCATTTGGTGGAAACGATTATGGGGTTCCGGATAATACCAATTCGTCGATGACGCGATGTGAAATCGTTTCTCGAAATCGGCACCGGTAGTTGTTCCTTTTATTCGGAGCGATGAATATTTATTATAACTACAGCTTTGTTAGTCGTGACGTGATAATTCTGGCGAAAATGTTCCATTTACTGGAATATTACATCAGAAGAAAAAAAACATTTTTTTTTCGTGATGTTTACAACATTTCATGTGAGATTCATAGCATTGATATATAATACTGTGTGCGAATACTCGCATATTTAACCTGTTAACTGGGGGAAACAAGTTAAGTCGTCATAAAATTAACCAGTGCTTAGAATACAATGGTTTATTTACTGAGAAATTCCTCATTTTTAGTTACGTCTGTATTGAACATAAAATGCATATTTCATTTGCAAAAACAAAAATAAAATAACTGATTGTAATTTTTATACGTTTTTAAACATAGAATAAGGAGATTCAATTTTTGTTTATGTTGCGAATTCAGTTAATAGGTTAAAAAGGTGGACTACTTGTGTGAATTAACATAATTAGAAGTAAGAAATAATTACTGCATAAATAATCATCGTTTCTATTCACAATGTAAAGTTACAAAAGGAGCATTATATACTGTTTACAGAGTTTATTAACTAACCTCTTGACTTATAAATTTTTTTTGCTGACTATGCATTTAAGTGTCAGCTATTTACTGCTTTAGTACTGTATTAGGTTAGGAAAGCTAATATAATATAGATTAATTACACTTGCTATTCCTGTCTGGTAAATTAAAACCAAAGTTAGAATTACAAATTATTTTTGGTTACTAATACAACTATTTTTGTCGCATTTTGACCAGAATCTGTGCCAGGTCCTCGTCGTTATAAGGCAAGGGGTTAACATTGAGTATAGAATTTTTAATACTGTGATAATGTTATTTGAATTTTTTTTTTACAAATAGGAATGTTTGCTGTCAAATTCCAATGAATATGTGTGGACTTTCGTTATCACTTTAGATTTGTTCAGATTCCATACCAGAGATTTATCTCGCACAGAGCGAACAAATATTTAGGAAAAGATTCAAATATGTTTGATATAGGGAAACCAGCAGTTGGTCAAAGGAGAGAGGAAGGGGAGCGGTATTGTCAGGAGTTGGAGAGGCCAAGAACAACTTCTAAATGGGGGCTTGGCCTTCTAGCGTTGCGACACGTTCGTGGAAAAGCGGCTCCGTGCCGCTTTACTAACACTCGGACATCTCCCTGCCACGTGGCCCATTAAAACACAATGGGAAAAGAAGGCAGCTGCGATGCGCGCTATTGATGACGAAAGATGCCTCTGTATTCCTATCGAGATCACAGGAAAATGCGACACCTGGTCTTAGGCTGTAAATCGTAAAGTCATACGTAGAATTGCGCTTGACATTTGGTTGATCATTTAAATAACCCAATGAGATACAGACAAGGTTAACGGACTCTTATGTCAACGAGTGACTCTATCGATTCGTTAGTAAAGGAATATTCGTGATAAGTCGATTTATATTTATTAGATAAATTTTCTGTTCTACAATAATTTATAAGTGTCTTTTTGCATACATTATGTTTCATAGCATCAATTATAAAACGTGTGAATTGGTTGGATGGATGGAGGGAAAGGGGAAAAGGTGAAAAAGGGAGATTTTGATATTAATCGATTATTCTGTATTTTATGACGAGAGATCGTTTACTTTTACGATTTGAGTTGAAATATTGTCTTTTTCTTCTTTGTTTTAATTAGTGTATAAATAGATTTTTTTACACATTCAGAAATAGTATTGATTAAAAAGTTTCAGTAGGAATAAAAATAATTCTGTTAGAATTTCTTTGTTTATTACGCAATGCATAATTATTCACTGTTCTTTTTATGCCTATTGATCAAGCTTTCAAGAAAACGCTTGAGTGCGAAACATTCGTAGAATAAGAAGCAGTTGCGTAAAATGCGCAATTATTTTATAAATCCACTATAACATACTAACAAAAGAAACAAAATCACAGAAAAATTAACACAGCTCTTTCTGCTGCGTACTCTGTCTTAATAAAAGAAAATTATTTTTTATCATTTAATTAATTAAAAGAAAAGTTTAGAACTATATAAATTAAAATATTTTAGAAATGATCTTTTTGAAATTAGTAATAACGCGCCATTACTAACAAGAAAAATAAGTTTAAATTTATTTAATGAAGCAATAGAAACTTAATCAAGATTTACTACATAAAATGATGAGAAAAACAAAATGACAGAAGCGTGTTAGTATTTTTAGTTGAAACAGATTTTCATGGAAAATGACTTACGCAATGCGGTCAATTACGTAAAATATACGAGTCACTTATAAATAATCATATATAGCAAATGATTAAAATGTGAAGCATTATTTTTCAATTCGATAAAACTTAAATCGTATTTTAAAATAATACATTGTATTTTCTTTCACTAATATTGTCTTTTATATTTCATTTATGTTCAAATTTTGATAAGATTAGTTTCACTGCGATATTTATAATTATATATATATATGC